TTGGAGGCGAAACTTCACCGCCGGACCTTGGGGCTCATTTATGGGTTCACACAGAGGGACCCCCCCCCCCACAGTGGTGACTTTGCGGGGTGGGGGTCATTGGGGAGGGGATTAAGAGGTGGGGAATAGAGGGAATCCGAATAGGAACCTCTGACTGCTTCGGCCGGGGCCGAGGCGAATTATAAGGGTTTAGGGTTACTTTAAGGCTTCTATAAGGGATCTGGGTTTAGGGGTTTAGAGGTTTAGGCTGATGCTTTCAGGCACATCCTCATTCCAGAGCCTTCCTTGCTTGGCACAGTCCGAGTGCGAAACCCTTGTTCACAACGCATGGCTCGGGAAGGCTTCCCACACAACGGTGCGGCGCCCTCGAAGCCCGTTACCGTATGTCGTGGCAACAAGCGAGTGCCAGGGGTGGTCAGCAGCAGGGTGGTTTGCGGAAAGATAGTTTAGGTTTCAGGTAACTGGCAGCTGTCTTCTGTCTCCAGCTGCCCAGCGAGAGCCCGATCCTGAACCCTCGAGAACCCCAAGACTACACTAAGTCAATAAGCGTGACCATAAGCTTTAAAACGTTTTCATCATGCTTGCTGAAGCCATGACCTTCCAAAAGAGACGTCGTGCGGCCAAGGACCAGCCGCGGGTTGGAGAAACGCCTCCAGTTTTTGCCCGGGCCCGAATGTCTGTGTGGCGTGCAGGCGTTTAAGGGTGCTTTCTGTGAGCTCTCTGCTAGGCTCGGGTCCGAACATAGCCGGCACGTGGACCCTTCCCAGAGCATGAAAGTGCAGGGGGCTGCGGGGGGCTGCGGGGGAGGTCGGGGGGGTGTGGGAGGGGGAGGTGGGCTGGAGGCCCAAGCCTTTACGTACAAGTGGGCTTCGAAACAATATACAGCGATATACAGGTGGAAGCAACATACCGTGTTGACATGACGCAGATTAGATTTGATGAGATCTATCATATAGAAAGGCACTTCTTCTATCAGATATTGATATTAAATTCAACATGATAAGTATATTGAGACTGTACAAACTTTGAATAAACAGTAATTTCCAGTTTTGTCAATACTACAAAATATTTTACAGTTCTGTCCAATGTTCTTCAAAAAGCTAGTATTGCTATATTATTTTATGCGTACTATATCAAGATAATGCAGAACGTATATAGTATATATGGCTAATATCTTAATAGACAACTCATACTACTTATGCATATTACTCTACATTAATATATTTTCATATTAGCGTGTTTTCTGCTATGACATGATAATAACTGAAGCGCGTCACATGGCCGTTATGGCTGAAAGGGACCAACAATCTAGGGAGCAATACATGCATCTTCAGCAAGATGCAGTACTGGCAGCTGCTTCACGTTTGCGAGTGCCGAGAGAACCGTCTTAAACATCAAGAAGAAGCAGCACGAGCAGCCGGCGAAAGCATGGTTAGTCAGCATCATGAGGAGGTATCGCAAATGCGGTGTGCGCTAGGAATCCACGAACCGGGTAGGGGGCTACGGGATGCAAATTTCCAGGACGACCTTCGCCCAAGCCGCTCGCATAGCTCATGCTCACCAAGTTGGTCGTAGTCGTAGTAGCAGCAGCAGCTGTAGCAGCAACAGCAAAGAAGCACATCAAGCCGCCGGCAGCTTTGAGGTCGGCCGATTGGATGTTCCCGCACAGGGGGCAGGGGCCAAGGACCGACCTGGCCTGGCCCAGGGCGAGGCTTTTTGATAATTTGAGTCTGGCTCGTGTTCTAGCTCAAAGCTCCGGGTGGAGTTGCACAGTGTGCAATTGCCCCTTGCTCTTTGATCATGGCTCATATCCTAGCTAATTGAAAGTATTGCATGCGAGGGTATACCGATGTGCTTGTTCTGTTGTTCAAGACCAGGTTTGCCAGAACCGCTGTAAGACGGCTGGGGACTGGATTGCTGTAGGTGCCGCGCCCGATACCTCTTCTAAACTGAGGGCTTCATGAAGCAGGTGAGCAACGGCAGCGCTTTTTTTCCATGTCCTGTTCCAGCTTAACCTGTTGAGACGGACTTGCCTGTCTTCTTGATGCAAGACTCCGAATTCAACCACTTCCGCATTTGGAAAGGTGAGTGTTGCATGTTGTGGCACTCCGGCTTTTTAACGAGTCAGTACTTGTTCTCTGTGTCGGTGAGAATCCAGCCGAAGGGGCTTAGCTGCAAAATACGAAAGGCTTGAGGGGCTTTTAGACGGAAAGTTCATAGATTCTTTCGAACTTTGTAGGAGCGGGACATGCCCGTGCTGCAGAGGACTTTAGCTACGTCAGCGGCCTGTCGGTCCACCCTAGCCTGGCCCTTAGTGACAAGACATGAATCTTGCTGCTTCAGTGAGCCTGGCTCGGAGGTTGGATATCTACAAAAGCCTTGAACGGCACTCGAATCACTCACGCAACCTGAAGAACCACCAAAACACGACGAGCCCACAACCCTTCATAGCATATTGGCAGCCATTGTTTGAGCTGACTAGATCGTCGGACAAGCGGTAGAAATGTCAGTGGAAGAGCTGTATCACCAACTGCAGCGGAACCTCGAATCGTTCTGCTTGTCGCCGGGTACGGTCCGGGAGAGGAACTTTATTTCAAAAGCTAAGCCTGTAGGGGAGGAAGCCAGTCCATACACCCAATACCCTCGGGCCTGAATGTCTGCAACTGAGCAGCGCTGTTTGGTTTACTACGTTTAGCCCAGGTCAGGGCACCTATGACTTCCGCGATGGCGACGGCATTGTTCCACTTCTGCTGAGACCATTGGGCATCGAGCTCAGCACCAGATCAGATGCCACATCGTCGTCGCGACGACGACGATGTTTGTTCATACTCAGCGTGCACCCACACTACGTTTTCCAATTGTCGTTGTTCGTGATTGCCCGTGGTTGGTAGTATACTGATTAATGCACGCTTTAAACATGCGCAGCCGAGATGGCTGCTGGTTTTTCCAAACTGCGATATGTCTTGCGTGTATGCGCCCAGAGGACACTACGCCCATACTTCTCGCAACAGACGATCTGATCATACGTCCGCACACCTGTGTTTAGCGTTTAGAACTGCGTGGAGTCGTCAGAGGATCTACGGATTTGTGGTTCGAGGTAAACTGAGGAGCCTCGTAGGGAGCCTCCTCCAGCGCTTGAGCCCGTCACCACGCACACGGCGGATAAGGGGGCTTGCATGCAAAGGCTTACAAGCTGTCTGGCCTATGTCTGTCAGCGGGTGATAAAATGAATCAGGTAGCCATTAATCGGTCTTTCACGCAGACCCGAGGCTAACAGAGGTGAAAGAGCAAGTTGCAAACGCCCAGCTGAGGTGAAGAGACCCGATCCATCCCTTATGGAATGCCTCTAAAACCAAGGCAGTAATAATCATGATTAAGAGACGATTAATAGCAGTGAAAATAATCAGAATCCCAGTCACAACAACAAAAACAAGAATGCTGAACATAGCGAAAGCAGTGATGACACAAATGATCATATTGACATGAATGATAATGCCAAGCTGTAGTATTTATTTTAGCTGACTATGGCTGGCAGGGAGACAGGGAGGCTGCAGCTCCACTGCAGCAGCCGTTTTGGCAACCTGCCTGGTACTAGCTAATGGTGTCGGGGTTTAGGGTTTAGGGGTTTAGGGTTTAGGGCTGGGTTCAAAAAAATGGTTAGGGTTTAGGGTTTAGGGTTGGTGTTGGGGGGGTGGGGGGTTGGGGTTTAGGCTTCAGGGTTTTAGCAAAAGCTAGGGCTTCGACTTCGACTTGACAAGAAGCGGGGGTGTGCTAGGCTTGGGAACGCGGAGTTTCGGGGTAGGGTATGTTGGGCAGGACGGTTGGTTCATCTCTTCGTCCTTTGTTTTCAGCCGCCTGGATGTCGTGATGCCAGGTGCATCTCCTAAGTCAAGCCGTCCGCCTCTTGCAGAGTGCAACCATCAAATCTCGAGCCTCTCACGAGTGCAAGGCTTGAGCCGAAACCCCTCCAAAACTGCAACCCGGGTCTGGTTCAGGGGTTCAAAATGGTTGAGGGCTTCAGCCTTTGCAGAAGCTTGCAAGTTTCCTGGTCTCGGCATCCCAACATGGAGCAAGCTTGGAGGATGAAAGCCCGAGGCACAAACGAAGCACATGGGCCTGGATTCCGGAACCTAGACCAAGAGACCCTGCCGACTCCAACTGTGATCAAACTCCATCTTAGAGGCTGGAGAAGTCCTGTCTCGCATGGAGGGCTTCGACATCCGAGGCGAGGTCACGAGTTGTGCATCCCTGGAGTTTGAGACTCTTCCCCCTTTTGTTAGACTTCCGACTCGACGAATCCTGCGGGGGCCAGCAAGTCAACACACAAGATACACTTTGGTGAAAAGTCATCCTCGCGGTGACGGGGCAGACACACACTGGCAAAAGCTTGCAGGTGATGGAGCCCACGCACGGATTGCCGAGAGAGTGGGTGCCATGCTGCACGGTCCTTACTCGGCGACCTGCCCTGTCCGGAGCGAAACCCTGAAAGCTACACAGGATAGGGGTCGATGTCCCAGATCCTCAGAGTTGGTTACGCACATCGGTGCTCTTCTCTTAGCGGTATTAGCTCTCGTGGATTGTACAGTGTTCCGAGCATCTAACCGACCCAATCTCAAAGACCTCTTGACTGAAGTTCCATAGACGCATCCAGACTAGACAGAGAAGACATCCTAAACCCTAAACCCTAAACAAGTCTCCGGAGCTGTGCTGATCCCTCCTAGCTTACCTTGTGGCTGAAGCTGAAGCATGCAGAGGATCAAGTTTAGGTTTCGGCAGGGAGGCGACATCCCAGGTGTTGGGCCAGTGCTGCATAGATCCAGTTGAGAAGCTAGTGACTAGTGCATCTGGAGCAACTTACACTTTCTCTCTTTAGTAAGCTCGCGAAGCATGGCCCGCGGTGAGCTCATGCCCATCGTGGATGCTGCTTCACAAGGAACCGGCCTCAGCAAACGGAACTAACATGACCATCATGAGAGTTGCTAGAAATGCTGAGGCTTCGAACCCCCAAGTGCCCCACTTCTCGAAGCCTCCCATGGCAGGATCCGCCCACTTAATGCTGGAGAAGGGGCTGCCGCTAAGCCGCAGGCTGCCTCCCAACAAGGAGGCTTGCAGAGCGCATGGGATGTGAACTCCGGGGTTCAGGGAAAAAGGGTTTTAGGGGTGAGATTGTATCATTGCTTCCGCCATTTCTCTACGTACATCTGCTTTCGACAGTGTGCGAAACTCAACCCACCAACTTGCAATCAGCATCTTCGCGAAAAGCCTCTCCTCTGTGATGGCATGTCGAGATGCCAGCCAGTTGTGGCTTTCTTCCATAAAGTCGCTCCATGCTCGTTCTCTTCGAAGACAGCATTTGACCAGGCGTAACGTATGCGTCGGCGGCCTCGTAGTGCATGTCCGTATAATGTTTCACTATTCACCTTACAGCTGGGGATTGACAGTCACCGAAACCCTCCCCTCATCCCTCTAAATGTTCAGAGAAGGCCTTTAGAGGCCAGGCGCGCGGCGCGCAACGGGTGGCCTCATTCGCCTCAGCCAGGGCTTCAATCGAAACACCACTCCGTCACACGCTAGTTCGCATCAGACTGCCAAGCAGTACTGGTGGAGAGCAACGACACGAAAGGTTTGACAAGGCAACGTACATGGATTCCAACCTGGTTCGTAGTCCTTCGACGAACACGGTTCTGTCGTGAGCACTGGAGGACCAGATATTCATGCCTGCATGGCTGCGCACCGTTGTCATCGTCATCTTCAACTTCGGGACCAGCCTCTTTTGCTGCAGCCGTGTGCTTCAAGGTGGCTACTCTTCTGCTGGAACATTAGCTGTATCCCTATTCCAGTCATGGGAAAGTTCTGCAGATCCATGCAGGCACTGGATTGTTTGTATTATTGAATTTCTTGGGCTGGTGTTGAGTTCACGCTTGCCGTGGCTGCCGTGGCGGTGCACAAGCTAGCCTATGAAGTCTCTCTGTCTCTGTCTCTGTCTCTGTGTGTGTGTGTGTCTGTGCGTGTGCGTGCGAGTCCACGCGTAACACAATCTCCGTACATTGTGCAAGTTCCAGCTTTCTCAGGCTTGCTTTGCACGAGGAACACGAGGAACCCAGGTGCATCGCGTCAACAAGAAGCAAGCAAAGCTCATCCCAAGAACCCGCGTGATCGTTTGTGCTTTCCAGTATTGTCAGACTTCGACTCGTTAATATACCTTGTAGATTCATGCAGAGTCACCCTGCAGACAAGTCGAACACACAAAGCCAACAGCATAAGTTGCGTTCGCACTGAACCGTCAAGGCACGGTGCATACGGTGCCACGCATACAAACAGTTATCTGCGCGTATTTGCCTATGCACATGTTTGACATTTTTTCTTTCGTGGTTACATCTGTATATAAGTATATACTTATATGCATCTAACCACATATCTACCTTTATGTATCAGTAGATGTATAGTTGTCTAGTGACACACATACTCTCTCTCACTCACTTGCAGGTGGTTGAAAAAACTGCCGATACAAAATGTTCAGTTGTTTGAGCCAAGCCCGCATCTCGTCGAGTATCTTTCTTTCAGAGATGTAGACAACGAGACCCACTAATAGTTCATAGGCGACGAGACCTAGACATCCACAAGATCCTTCTTGTTTTTTTTTTTTTTCGTGGGGCTCCCTTTGCCCAGCTGGTGCTTGGCGAGGGCTCCCGGACGAGCTGGACATGGTATTGCAGCTCTACATAAGTCGGACAAGTAGACACCGTACCCGCAAGCTACACAGTGGATTGTCATACTTCAATAAAAACCCAGAACCTTTGTTCTAACTACGAAGGTTCCTGCTTTAGGGTTAGGGTTTCGGCTTCCCTAGATCGGGATCGGATTCAACAGACTCCCTGGCCACATATTCAACCCCTGAGGAAGTCTCCAAGCTGTTGAATTCAACCTGTGTTTCTGTAGAACAGCACCCTCCGCTTCCTGCCAGCTATCAGGCATCCTCCTAGTGAATTCGGTAAAGTACCTTGGACAGCAGACAGGTTTGCAGTGTGCAGTTGGGTAAGCAGACTCGCTCCTTCTTCAGCAGGCCAACATCTCGACAGAGGCATTTGATCGGCAGGGTTGCGGTACTGCATTCCTCACGGCCAGGTATTTATACACATTTTCCGGCTTTGAGTTCCCGCTCTTCATTGCAAGCATGCACATGGCACCACGGACGCCAAGGAAGTTTTGCAGTTGCAGGTTTCGCAATTTCGGGCCAAGGGTTTCGGGCTTGATCTGTGCCAGTTTTTTGCAGCATCTGCATTGCAACTTGGGGGACATGAAGCTTATCGCAGTGAGCTTTCCCGAACTGCCTGGATCCCGATTCCTCATGGCCCAAAGCTGCCGCCTTTTGCAAAAACATGATTTCGGCATGGGTGTACTACTGTACAGGTACTACAGTGACCACAGTTGCCTCAATAAGGTGTTTAGGAACACATTCGATTTGATCAGAAAGGTGAACCCTAGAAAGTCTTTGTTTACACAACTTGTTCAGGCCCCTATACTCGTCTCCATTGAAGCTTTTTTGAGCCTGAGGAGGTTTCTCGCCAGTCTCTGCCTGAAGGTGTTCTCTTGGGCCCTAACAGCATTTATCGTCCACTGCAGCGAGGACCGGAATGTGAGTGGGGGCAGGCAGCCCTAAACCCTAAACCATTTTGAGCAAGTCGTTGGACCAGCATCGCTACAGACCTTGCCAGGCTTGTCCGAGTGTAAGTATCAAAAAAACCCTAAACCCCCAAGCGTCCGAGTCGCGAGAGTCCAAACCCCCCCAAGAGACTCTGGTCTTGCCGACTTCGGTGCTTCGCTTGACTGCAAGCAGTCGATGGGAAAACGCTCGACTCTTGGGCTTCTGACAGCTATATAGCTGATCTGTGTTGAAGGAGGCCGCTAGGGGTGCCCATTCGCAGAGTGGTGGCTGAAGTGTGGGTGACCGGCAGCAAGCACAACACGACCTCACTACTGACACGCCACGTCAGAAATGAGCATGGGCATCGTTCGGCTTCCTTCTTTTGGACTTGGCTTCGGGGTTCGCAACATATGGGACTTTCCGAAAATAAGGGGGGTACCTTATTTTGGGGTCCTTATGATAAGGATCCTACTATTTAGGGTACTATATTGGGGTCCCCTATTTTCGGAAGCCCCCATTTCTTCCTTCTGGACTCAGGCTGACTCAGGCTTTGGCTTGGATAAGCCATGCGCCTCTCACATGAAGCATGAACATGTTGAAGGACAGTGGCGACAAAGTGCTGATGCCTTCGGACGAGCGGCTTAGAAAGGCCCGGATATATAATTACTCAATCAGCTATCATATACGACCATATTTACTATCATACAGGAGAGCATAATAACGAAAACATGCGATAATATGCTATATCCCCGAGCTCTGGAAGCCTTGAGCCCGTAAGACGCCTGGATGTATGATGCAGGAAGTACTCCATGCCACAGGGCTTTCCAGATCTGCAGATCTGCAGACGTCCAAATTCCTAATCATATGGAAACAAGTGCTGCAGCGGGATGCAAGATTAGGGGTGGTAATGCAGAGGGTGAGATGCCGTCTTGGATTGGGCTGTTCCGCAGTTCCTGTATAGTTTGCTGTTGGAACCTGTCATTAGTCCTCGACTGCTACTCCCGAGCTGCGAGTGACACAGGCGTAAACCATAGTTGTCGGACAGACTGCAGAACCTAGACGTGTCGGGTCCGTGGACCCATGCTATCCCCAGTTTTACAAATCAACCGAAACTCGTGAATTGCTAGCTCAACCACATTCCCTCGTCGGCTTTACATGAGGGTTGTTGTTCAAGAATAGCTGTCATAGCCTTTCGGAGGACTACCTAGAATCGGCTTCTTGAGATCCCACGGCCCGATGCCAGTCGCGAACTTTTGTCGATAACCTTCGTTTCCCCGACTTGGTTCTCAGAGGGGGGTACTGAGGGTACTGCAGCCGCCACCCCGCGCAACATCTTCTGAGTTTGGTCTCGTCTGGGTTGTTTCCTGTCGTGTTGAGAGTGGGCCTCTCGAGTCGGGATGCAGCATGAGCCTTTCGGTGTCGGACGATGTCTTCTGCATGTCAGAGGTTGGTGAGGTTCGACTCGACTTTTTTTGCATCTTAAGCAGTTTCTATTGCTTCGACGCTGGCAACTCTGCATGTTTCCATCTGCTCGCTGCCCTGCCACAATCAGTTGAGCACAGATATCTTAGCAGAAGGACCAGGCAAATTCCTCCAAATGTTGAGCATACTTGTCAACCTATGACTGAACCCATCCTCCGTGGTATCTGAAAAGTCCGGCCGGAGTGTCGAAGAACAGAATTGTGCAGGCATAGAAGACTGCGCCATACTTTGCCTGCGCTGGGTTGCCCATGCGCCGCTGCAGCCATTGGACATGCATCTTCCTTGTCGGGCTCGGGTCATTATGGTCATTTAGCCGCCAGATGACCTCCTTTCGTGGCAGCCGGGCCTTTTCGGTGGTGAAGTTGGGTCCGACGGACATGGCCTTCTTTCACCAGACCAATGCATTGAACAGCCGGGCAAATTACTCCATCAGAAGTGTTCGAGTAAACTTGCCGTATTCCCCGTACTACTTATTAAGCGATGGTGGACCAGATTTTTCAGAAGCTGCTGGCGAGTTCAATGTTTCTACTTTTCGTGCTGAAGGCATGCATTTGTCACAGTCATTCAATCCGAACTTTACCTGCCAAGGGCACCTGCAGAGAATTGCGCAGGCTGCCAGATGGGCTTCCCAACATGGGGCGGCCTATCTAATGATATGGGAGGATGACACAAGGATGTTGAAACCGATGCAGACGATTCCCGACGTTGATCTCGTGACAATGGGCAATGTCGGCAACAAGCACGTAGGATTTTGGAACAGTGGCATCCGAGAGAAGTCGATGAAGACACCCGCCGAGCAGTTGGCGCCAGCTGACCAAAGGCGTGTCAAGCAGCAAGACAAGTTTGCGGCTCGGAGAGGATACTCTGCGGGGCCTGGAAGCATATTCAGAATCGATCCTTTCTTGAAGGCAATCGAAGCCACGCCTGCGAGCGACTTGCAGGCCATGTATACGTACACTGAGCAGGACATGTGCTGGGAAGATTTCGCTATCGGCAACGATCTGAGGATAAGGCGAAATCCTGAAGTGCAACAGGTTACTTGGGCCTTTAACGATGGAGAGTTCGTCGGTCAAACTGCGGAACCTGGCAGAAACCTCAGGTGTCTGGAATGCTTAGACGCTTGCAAGGTAGATTGTGGCTGTGCGGAGCGCTTCTCTGGGAAAGAGCGTTTTTGGTCTGGCCTCGAGCAGCTTGCGGAGTTCATGTCGGCTGGACATTCGTTCCATTGTTTCGGCTGGCGTACAAGCCTCCTTTGGGGCAGGGAGTGTGGGTCTTGCAAGCAGAATTGCTGGACCCCTTGCTCCGCGGCGTGTATGTCCAAGTGCCCAGCGGTGGTACATCCGCAGAAGCGGCCCATCCTGGATTGCACATAGAAGGACCGTCCCGACTGGAACGGGATTTGAGCCATGCGATGATGGATCGTTCTTGCAGCCTCATGCATTGTTGCACAACTGCACTTTTCCCGTTTCACGCCCCAATGCATAAAAACAACGACATCAGTTATGGCTTTTGAAAAGCTTTGAGTTGTGATTTGATGTTTTGCGGCTGGTCGGAATCCCAACAAAAATGACAAAAGGAACCCTGGGGCTCCCAAGTTACCTAAACCTAAATAGTAGGTTACTGGGGGTACATAGTATATGCATATGGTTCGTAACCCACTATTTAGGTAACTGGAGCCCTAGGGGAAGACGAGCCTATCATGACCTGGCACCCCAGCCGTCTGCAGCTGTGATCTCCAGAGGCCAACACAGAATGACGATGATCAGCATTGACACAATGATACTCAATCATACTCGGCCGATCTTGTTCCCACAATTTCAAATCTACAGAAGCAGCAAGTATCTTGTCCTAGGATTTTTCCAGAACAACTTTATCCGGGTTTTGCCGAATCGAACAACCTGACGACCTAAAGCACCCACACACAGACAGACATCCGCAACACGGCCACGCCGATTGGCAGCGCACGCGCACTATTCTTTTCAGGGTCATGCAGTGCAATCAAAATTTCCGTCAAAGCTTCAAGACCGAATGCCTGAGCCCAGCCCCCGCAAAAAGTGAAGGCTAAACCCGAAAAACAATGTTTCCGGATCTCTAAAGCTTGGGTTGAAGGTCGGAGACCCTACGCCCTGACATCCCCATATACAACACTCTGGGAACTGAGACCATCTTAAAGCCACCGTGACGTTTTGGGAGTTCTTCGATTCAGAGACTCGTTGAAAACCGGGAGGTTTTGCCCTTCACGATCTTGCAAGCAGCGTCCCTCGCATCAGCCAACGTGGCGCTCACGCCTCTCGCCGTTGGGTCTTGAATCACTACCTTACCATAAAATCCTATGCGTAGATTGTCTATCCTGGTGTATGGCGGTATGACGCTACATGAAGCATGTATAGGTTATGGTTATGGTAGCTCGTGTACGCTCAACTGGCGTAACTTTCGGAGTTTGTTTTTGTCGGGTCCCTGATGCCCGAAGCAAGTCTGAAATCTGAACTATTGTGTGATGTAGGGCGTAGGGTTTAGAATGATTTAGGGACACTGTGTTGGGATTGCCGGGGATCCTTTAGGTAGGGTCCCTACAAACCCTACTACAGCGGTGAAAGGGGGTCTCCAAGGGTCCCGAAATCCCGAAGCCCATCACCTGGCCCTAGGGCTCCAGTTACCCAAAAAAGTGGGTTACGAACCATATGCATATATTATGTACCCCCAGGAGCCTACTATTTAGGTAACTGGAGCCCTAGGGTAGTGGGATTGTGGGGGGTCTTAAAGCAGGTCCCTAAGCCCGGAAGCCCGAAATCTGGGACCTTGACCGGTTTTTTGTTGAAGCGTTGGCTACAGATTGTATAAAAGGTCTGATAAAAGGATTATTATGACTGTTGCCTATACAGGAGACGGTGAGGGATTTTGCTGAGGGTCCCAGGAAGTCGAAGCTAGGCTTTGAAGTTTATCCCTTGAGCTGCGCATGGCTTCCTGGTTTCGACGAGTAGGGCCTTCATAGGGTTTACAGGTTTCGACTCACAGACTCGTGCAGGGCCGGCATCGCGTCGCAACGGTTTAAAGGTTTAGGGTGTGCCAGTGTTTGGTTATCCCTGCATTTCGGCACGCACAGTCTCCGACTAGCCGGGATGTTCTGTTCACATTCAATGCAAAAGGCTCGTTGGCTTCAGGGCTATGGGTTAGCGTCATTGGCATCCTGTCCATCGGGCAAGCTCAGGCACATCTACCCGTCGTATCACGAGATGATTCAGCCGCAGGGCTTTGATATGACCGCCATGCACCCATGCATGCATGCATGCATGCATGCATGCACGAGTTTCTTAAACTTGGCTGTTTGTACACAAGAATACGTTGTTTTGGCCGTCTAGGGTCTGTGCTGGGCACTGTGAGATCTCGAAGCGTCATAACTGGGTGGAGCCCGCAGCACAGAATAAAGTTCCTGTAAGGAACCCATTCAAACAACCGCCAGGGCTCGATCGCAAATGACGGGGCCGACATCCCGGAACCTGATCCTAAGCCTCCTCCTTGCCAGGAAGGAGACGAAAAGTTTCTAAACCTCGCAAAACTCAAACCCTAAAAACCCCCAAAACCCTAAACAACACCCAAAAACCCTAAAAACCCTAAAACCCTAAAAGCCCCTTATTTACTTCCATGATTTCGAAGAGAGTTCCGAAGCATCCTGGAGCTCGACGCCTGCGGCCCCTTGGCCTGGGTGTCCAAACTCAAAGCGGCATGAAAACACCAAAACCAAAGGCCCGGAGATGCTAAAAAGTTGAAAGACGGGGTAGGGCTTTAGGGTTTATAGGGTTTTAGGGTTTAGGGTTTTACGAAAACCCTAAACCCTCCCCAAACCCTAGACCCTGCAACATGCGGCTCGTCCTTTCCAAGCAGGAGGGGCCAAGACATATAGGATGTTAGTTTCTACAGGGTTTAGGGGTGATTTAGGGTTATAAGAAACCTACTGGGTATTAGAATTTAGATGGTTGTTGCTGTTTGTGTGTTTGAGACTCAGGTCAACGACGCCTCTTTTCACTCTGGTCAGTAGCATGATATTCGATGGTCGACGCTACAATTGCTGGGCTTACTGGGCCATGCTGCCGGTGTGTGGGGGTGCCGTGGGGGCCCCGGCAATGTGCAGCCGTTTTGCATGAACCCTAAACCGATAAACAAGCCTGTATGGATTCTTGCCGATGGGATCCTGTAAGCCAGTGTCTGACTTGGATTTATAGGGAGTTCCGCCCAGCCTTTTGACTTGAAGCCCTATCGCAGGCTTTACGAAGAAAATCGCCTACAGTGTACTCTAGAAGCTGCTTGTTGTTTTGCCTTCGTGCATCACCTGAATCGACAAGGTTTTGGGCGTGAGAACTTGCCTCTTGATCGTATCCCACAGAGGCTAAAGCAGCCCGAGACCTTAAACCCTGTAAGCCTCCAGGTAATCAGCAGTTGGAGCGAAGCAAACTTTTCTTTGCTGGGCAGTGCTTTGTCCGCCCTTGCCGTGGCCTTCCGCGCCCTGAACCCGGGCAACATCGAGGGTATGAAAGCTTACGGTTCACTTACTCTAGCATGTCATGAGGGAATGGTTCTTGAAAGTCGTAGTAAGGAAGGAAAAGGTTCGAGTTGGCGTCCGTTTAGAGCATTGCTTTTTCTTGGCTAGGGGCTGGCAGTTTGGGCATATCTGTCGAACAGGAAGTAGACCAGATTGCCAAAGTATTTAGCATAGTGCAAGTGTCGAACCCAGTCAGCTTGACAACTCAATCCTCCGAACTCATGACATCTCATGACACTCGATCTTCTGCGTCTGCTGCCTTCGATGCATTTCCTAAACATGAAGTATAGCAGCGAAGCTGCTTGCGATTTCAGTACCACCTCGAGGGCTAGCAAGCCAGTCAACGTAACTCAAGGCAACTCTCTTCAAGGAACCTGGGTATAGTCTTGTGTGCCGAGGGCATTTCTAACGGAGATGTCTAACTTCCAAAACAGTGTCTGGTGGGGGTCCGGGCCTATATAAATAGTGGTGAGGGCAAGCAAGATGCAGCCATGCTTTGGTCGATTGTGCCGATGCGAGGAAAACAATTCTGCAGGGCAGACTGCTTTGTGAGCAGCCGCTGGACAGCATCAGCTGGTTTCAGATGCGTTTCGTTCTCAGGTTGCAGATATTCAAGCACATACAGTCTCATACACATGCACGCATTGACTCCGCATGGCCACGACACGCCAAGGAAGGTGGATTCCATCACTCTCTGCTACTACATGGCGCCCTATAACCTGGCAATCTTCTCCATTGCCTCCGCCGCCGTCGAGGGGATTCAGCCGGTGAGGCCTGAACATCTCGGTGATGATAACGGTGGTGGTCGCGGTGGTGCTGACCCTCATCGTTGTTGTTGTTGTTGTTCCTGCGGTTGCTGCTGTTGCTGCCGCCGCTGCTGCTGCTGCTGCTACTGCTGCTGCTGCTGCTGGCGGCGGCGGCGGTGGCGGCGCTGCTGCTGCTGCTGCTGCTGCTGCTGCTGTCTTTGTTGTCGTTTGCTGTTTGCTGTTTGCCTTTTGCTGTTTGTTGTTTGTTGTTTGCCGTTTGTTTTTTGCTGTTTGTTGTGTTGTTGTGGTTGTGGTTGTGGTTGTGGTTGTGGTTGTGGTTGTGGTTGTGGCTGTGGTTGTGGTTGTGGTTGTGGTTGTGGTTGGTTGGTTGGTTGGTTGGTTGGTTGGTTGTTGTTATTGTTGTTGTTGTTGGCGTTGTTGTTGTTGTTGCTGTTGCTGTTGCTGTTGCTGTTGTTGTTGTTGTTGTTGTGGTTGTGGTTGTGGTTGTGGTTGTGGTTGTGGTTGTTGTTGTTTGTGTTGTTGTTTATGTTGTTGTTTGTGTTGTTGTTTGTGTTGGTGTTGGTGTTGTTGTTTGTGTTGGTGTTGGTGTTGTTGTTGTTGTTGTTGTTGGTTGTCGTTGTTGTTGTTGTTGTCGTTGTTGTCGTTGTTGTCGTTGTTGTCGTTGTTGTTGTTGTTGTTGTTGTTGTTGTTGTTGTTGTTGTTGTTTGTGTTGTTGTTTGTGTTGTTGTTTGTGTTGTTGTTTGTGTTGTTGTTTGTGTTGTTGTTTGTGTTGTTGTTGTTGTTGTCGTCGTCGTCGTGGTTGTTGTTGTTGTTGTTGTCGTTGTTGTTGTTGTTATTGTTGGTTGTTGTTGTCGTTGTTGTTGTTGTTGTTGTTGTTTTTTGTTGGTTGTTGTTGGTGGTTGTTGGTTGTTGTTGGTTGTTGTGGTTGTTGTGGTTGTTGTGGTTGTGGTTGTGGTTGTGGTTGTGGTTGTGGTTGTGGTTGTTGTTGTTGTTGCTGCTGCCTCCCCTGCTGCTGTTGCTGTTGTTGTTGCTGTTGTCGTCGTTGTTGTTGCTGCGTTTGTGATTGTAGCTGTGGTTTCTGTTGTTGCTGGTGCTATTGTTGTCGTTGTTGCTGCTGTTGTCGTTGGCGTCGGCGTCCTCGTCTTCGTTGTCGTTGTTAGTGTTGTTGTTGGGTGATGCAGACACATGTAACGATGATGATGATGATGATGATGAGGGCTGCAGGCTATGACCGTGAGGTCGATTGCAAGACATCAGACCCTTTCCAAGCGAGTATGTTGGTTATGGGAACGACGACGACGAAGGCGATGATATGACTGCTTGCCTTTGGCGTTCGTCGGTGGCAGGACGTGAAGACAACCCCTTGGTTCAGACTTCGCATACTCCTTCTGAGCGTCGCTTCGCTCCTTCCACAAGCCATACGGCATGGAATGGACCAGTAGTGTGGCGGTTGTACAGGCCAACCTGAAAGCCCAATGAATGGCAACCCTGGAACGCCTAAACAGCCTAAACCCGAAACGAAACTCGAAACCATGTCCGAGTGTGGGACCCGCAGCCTCCTAGACGTACTTAAAAGCTTCGCAAGCCATCATCTACTTAGAAAGCCGTCGCAGACCGCGAGCCTGATAGCCCAAATTAAAGCAAAATTCGGACATTTCTGAGAGTCGACATCGAAGCTTTTGAGGCAGCTCCTTGGCTTCGACTCCACATTTGTGTCTCGGTCTGGAGCTTCGGAGGACGTGGAGCCGAGTGGTATGGTGAGCAAATCGTAAGCCAGAAGTACGGGCTACGAGATCCTGTCTACTTGGTAGCAGAGTTCCCTTCCAATTGAATTTAATTTTATTGTGGTTTTGCGGCATAGCTCGCCGTGGGGCCTTCTCTCATTCATGAAGCCCAAAGGCCGCCCATCGAAGCTGGCTTTGTTTTGACGACTAAACCCAAACCCTAGACCCTAAGGGTCCCGGCTTCCGGTTTTTCTGGTCTCCGTACTCCATTACCCTGGGGCCACATCCCTAGGCCCTAAAAAATGCCCCGATGGTGCGACCTTCTCGAACGCTGGAGCCGCAAGCGGCACTGCAAGGCAAGTAGTATAAGATCTTCTTTACTTCAGAGGAGAGAGAGGTATGTACGTAGAGACATGTGTATATATATATGATATGATATGACATGACATGATATGATATGATACGTGTATGCAGATCTGTATTTGACAGCAATAATGATACAATAATTTTGTCGTATTTGAAATATCGGAAAGGTTGCCCGGGACTCTACAGCATGCATTGCTTCACAGCGCCTCCTTGCTAAGGGCTTGCCCCCTTTCACTCTCTTACAAGTCCTTAAAAACACGAAACGGCGTAAGGGTTTTGGGATAAAGGGTTTTATGGTTCAAGGGATGCTCCGGACAGGCATAAGGCCAAAATGAACTGCAACCCCGAACCCTCAACATCCCCGGGCCCGATATGATATGCCCTAACCCAGCTCCCTGTGGGGGAGGGGGGGGCAACAAAGCCGTAAAGCCAGTGAGGCCTTAAACCCGAAACCCTAGACCTTAAACCGAGTAAACACGCGTTGCTGTTATATACATATATGTATATGTTGTATATGCACACACACATATATATATATACATATGTATATGTTGTATATATATATATATATTATAGCTTGGACAGCGCGCCCGTCGGGCAAATGGGGGGTGGAGCCGCGAGAAGCTGCGAAGCCGCGGAGCCTGAGAAAATACAAACGAATGAACAAACAGATACATAACTCTGAGGCTATCTATATAGATTACATATATATATATATGTACACACACACATACATACATACACATGTATGTATAGTGACATGTATGTGTGGAAGCCCTTATCCCTACAGACCTCCAAGCTCCAGCTTCAAGCCCTAGAAGCCTCTCAAAGGTGGAGCAGGTCTACCTGGCGGGATCTCTTCTGACCTCCTGTACCTCAGCCGGTGCGAGAACTTGAAACTTTTTGGCCTTCTAGTTGGTCTAGGGTTTGGGGTTTTGTGTGCTTTTCAGATTTTTAGGTATATAGTTGAATGTTTGAGTTTTTCGAGCCCGGGTATTATTGACATTGAAGACGAGAGGTATCTTGGCCTGCGCCTTCAACGTCGCCAGTCACCTGGCGCCAGTCTGGGGATGGATCCAAGCCCTATAGGCCTAACTGCGCCCTCGTAAACCACAAGGTTTGAGATTTGAGCTTAGCTAAGGGTCGTTTTGGTTTCGGGGTTCCGGGTTCAGGATGGGGTATAGCGGGATGTGGTGCTGTGGTCTTTCGGGGGCTGAGTCGCGTGGTGTTTTTTTCTACAGGGTTCAGTAGGTGTGTTCGGTTTACTGAGAGGCTCAGCCTAATGGTAGAAAGCTGTAGACGGAATTATGATGACGACCATGCTGCATCAGTATGTGTGTTCCGGACGTGCGATATCGTGCCAGGGAACTGCGCATGGGACAGAGCCTGAGAAAGCACGTGATGCTGAGGTTATCTTATCATCAAGCACATGAGCCCAGTGGGTGCCACTGTCATTGCAAATGCGAAGACGCCAGCCACAATCCTGACATCTGTGCGACTTTTCAGCAGAGAATACATCGCCTACTCGGATCAGCTTCGTAGTCTCGACTTGAAAAAACTGAAGCCCCCGCAAGCGCAGTACTTCCTGAGTCCTGGAGTGTTGTGCTTGCCGTCTGAAATTTTCTGGTGGTTGGAGCTTCTTATATGGCTGCAGCTTACGATTACTACGACCGCGACTGCCACTCAGCCACATGTTTAGGAGAACACGTCATGCAAGCTAGCCCAAATTACCCAACTCTCCAAGCCCTCCAAGCTGTTCTGAACCAATCATCACTAAAGTCATCATTCACTCCGAAAGTTGCTTACTCCACGCACTACAAACACGCACAAACGCACAGCTACAGCAGCCGTTCTTAATGATTGTATGTTTGTTCGTATACCTCTACACATGTGTATATGTACATATGTATACAAGTGACACTCACATGAATACTGTTGTTATTGATGTGTGTGTGTATGCTGGTATGTTTGTATGCATGCATGTATGTACGTGTTAACCAAGATGGTACTGCTTCGTGTTGCACTCAGGTTCATCTTTGGCAACTCTGTGGGAGCTTTGCAAATCCTGGGCTTCGCCGCAGCTTGCGCCGTAAGAAGGTTTATTTCTGTCATGTTGATATTGTACAGAAGGTTATGCATAACATCTTGGTATGTGTGTGTATATGTATAAATATAAGTATATAAATATAATATATATATATAGAGAGACAGAGAGAGAGAGAGAGAGAGAGACTGTTTGCTATTTGTATTGGAATTTATATCGACATTGAAACTGGTACTTATATTGGCACTAGTCTTATTATGATATTCTGTTATATGATACGGTGTTATGTCATATCATGTTATTTTTGGTTTATTATGTTGTTTTGTGTTATGTTATACTACATTATAATATGTTTCATTAGACTACCTTATGTGATATGACATTGTGTTCTATGATCAGACAATATATTGTAGCACGGCACAGTATAACCTGGTATCGGTACAGTATAGTATAGCATAGTAGAGTGTAGTATAGTATAGCATGCGTTTGGGATTTAGGGCTTCAGTGTAGGCGTTGAGGATGCACTCCGTGTTTTATGGGCCCCCTCCACACAACAAGGCCCCGGGTTTGAACAGGAAGAACCCAAGGTTCACCCTCCGGTTTGGGTTTAGGGTTTAGGTCTGGCTAGACTTGAGTCCAGTGGCCAAAAAAAAAGGTTTAGGGTTAGGGCTCGACCAACCAAGTAGCATTTGTAGAATCAGAGTAGTGAGGCGGGCCCCAAGAGGCATGGAACCCCAGACGGCGATCTCTTAACATCCCAACGATGGCCTCAAAACAAGGGTGGTGCAACAGCCCGAAACTTTCTGAAACTAATCCAAACAAGTCAAGCAACGCGTCATTCGACCTCGTACAATCCCGATCACTGCCCCCAAAAGCTGGGAACCCCAGCCTGAAACCCGTGCAGGCTTGTTTGAGTTCAGGGGTTAGTTTCAGGTTTCCTAGGGGCTTAGGGGAAGGAAGCACTCCTCATGGTACAATGTCCGCTGCTCAGTAATTTTCGGCTATGGCCTAGGTGACTATCCTGGGCGTGTGGCTGCACAGCCAGAAGGGTCGCCCCATCAAGGTCTAAGGCGCTCCGTTGGCTTCCGGCAAGACGATGGCAGCTGCCAGTAGTGCTTTCTATGACAGCGTACTACTTCTTACGCAGTACCCGAAAGATGTCGCTGCGCACCGATCCGGGTGCACCGGCTTCCGGATGTGCGTGAGGTAGGGCAGGAAGTCTTTCACAGCTTGGCAACGAAGAGACACTTGCATAGGTTTCGTGACGTTTCTGTTTTAGGGTCTGTCAGCGCAGTAAAGTCAGCCAGCCAGACATTTGCACACAGGTAGGGTAGACACTGGGAGTGCCCTGGAGTGTGGAACTTAGGGTAGATGATAACCTACTGCTCAGGTGAAGCAGGTCCAGCATGTATGGGAAACTCACAGCGCGCAGAGCAGCCTGCATGTGCCTGCAGGCCAGCGACAGCAAGTGTTGCTGAATGCTGCTGTTCTGCATGGCAAAGCCATGTCCTTTTTTTGCAGTTGATGACAGGAGTCGGTCCGTGCATTCACATGGGGAGCCGCATGTATCATCACTATATATTTTCTGCATCAGTATAGGCAAAGCATGCACTTTGATACGAGCTGGGTGGCGCCTACTGTATGGTTTTCCAGCCCACTACTACGCGGTGTGCCGGGTGCACTGATTCGATGGGCAGGTCCCACTGACTCAACAGTCCACGAGAATCTCAAGAGGAGGTTGCACATTTTAGCCCTCCACAAGGCTGGGGGCGCCAACGAAGTGGCAGCCATACATCTTGACAGTCCTGGCTATGAGTAAAGCTTGGGCTGATATATGTTTATGCCTTTGTCGAAGTTTCTCGTCAGCTTTTTCGCACAGATCTGCTTCCGCTCGGGTTAGATTGCTTTATCTGCCACGTCTCACAGTTCGTTGATCCACGGTAGGGTGTCGGCCTGCAGCAGCCTAATACAGATTTCCGCAGCCCTCGCAAGATCATGATCGCCACGTGGCGGTACTAAGGGTTGATGGACCTCAGCCTGCTGTGTATCGTTTTGGCTATGCGGAACCTGCCTTGAACTCAACAAATGCCCACATTCAATTGTTCGAAAGGCTTTGGTACCCACCTGTCAAACATCAGGGCTGCGGAGTCGTGTTGTCCGGCCATCATTGATCTGTCGCAACGCCGAATAGGTACATCAGCAGTTACTCAAGGCCAGCTTGGCTTCTCTCTGGTGCCGGCGAAAACGGGATCACTAGGTCTGAAAAAGCATTCTGCCGGCGAGTGCTTACATGTCGTTTGGCAAGGTGTTTCTTTCACTGGTAGTTAAACCATGTCCAACTGCAATTCGGCCAGGCTAGGTTCGAGGTTTGGTTCGATGGATGGTCTCATTGGCAAACACATGGCGAGAGAGGGCACCCACGCCCGTTAATCGCAACCTCAACGCGTCCAACTTCCAAGGGAGGCAAACCATTTCCGAAACTTTCACCAGCCCGAAATCCCAAACTGCGTTCGAGCCCTTGTACTGCAGCTTCCACATCCATGAAGCTCAGGTGTGCAAGCGCAAGATGCAACCATTTCCCTTAAATTTCAGCTGTGAAGACGGAAATCCTTCATGTGAAACTTTGTGCTTGCTTGGTTTGCAGATCTTCTGCCTCAGACCAGCTTTGTTCCGAGGAAGCGGCTTCTCAGTGGAGAAGATGCTCTTTCACTGCTAGTCCGGAGCCCTTGAGCAGATCGCTGGCATGTAGAGTCGGCGGTTCTGGGGAAAAAGGGAGGGTGTAATTGGTCGTCCGGTCCTGACATGAGCTCCATGTTGCAGTTCTATAATTCTATAAGATCGCGTCTTATCCTACACCTTTACTCTGGTAGATGTGTTCCATTTGATGTACCCAAAATGTTGGCCACGACACAGGTGTCAGATTTTGCCATTGGCAACAGGCAGCTGGAAGCCCTCAGCCAAGATCTGGTATTCCGAGAGCAGGAACAACAAAGCCCCGAACCCGAAAGTCGTCAAGGCCTTAAACCCTCTGAGCCCAAACCCTCTGAGATAGAAGCCTTAATCCTCAAGCCCTCAACTGTCCACTCGACAGCAAACACAAAGAGAGGCTCAGGTCCGAACCTTGCTCGGACTGCCCCAGAAACCCTAGCACTCAAATAATTGGTAGCTTGTACTGTCTAGACTACCAATAGTACTTATCTAGTATGAAGCCGAAACCCTTTATCACTAGTAGCTTACTGTGCTAAAACTTAACCATAATATAGTACCGCCCCATCATTGTATGTCCCTAGAAACATACTGGAGTTGCCCATCATTGTATTCACCCTACAAGCTCCATATTCTAGTAGCTTGCTGTCCCGAAAAACCAAAGTAAGGTGCCCATGAAAGCAAACCCCGAGCCTCAAACCCGGAAAGCCCGAGAAAAAAGCCTACACCCTGAACACCTAAACCCTCCAAGCCTTAGACCAAAAAACCCTAAGCCCTAAACCCTAGAGAGCCCTTTAAAGGAGCCCTTCAAAAACCCACCAGAAGCCCGAGGCCTCTCTGAATCCGAAGCAGCCGCTTTTCTTGGAGGAGCGGGGCGACAGGTTTAGGGTTTTCGGGGTTTTGGGGTTTAGGGGTTTAGGGTTTTTGGCTTTTTGGGTTTGGGGTTTAGGGGTTTAGGGTTTTTGGCTTTTAGGGTTTAGGGTTTTAGGGGGAACAGCAGGACTCCCGACGCGGAAGTTCAAAGATCCATAAGCTAGCCTATAGAAAGTGTGGAAGTGCGCAGGCTCGGAGCTCAGAGTGACTGTGCTGCCAAACCCTAGAGAAGTGCCTAAGTAAAGCATGACAGCTTGGTGCAGCTCGGACCTGGCACCGGGTAGAACCTGCAGCTAGGTAGGAACTGTGGTGCCTACTTTTGTTTCAGAGGATTTTTCTATAGGGAAATCATAAGGAGCCCTGAAAAGGTAGGGTCTCTAGTCTTTAGGGCCCAGATAGGTTGCAGAAACTGCAGGATCTGGTTACCTCAGTTTGACTCGTTAGCATGCTTGAATTCTGCGTGCGCCACTCGGATCTTACGGCAAAACAGAACAGAACAAAAGCTGCAGGATGAAGCCTGTACTCTTCATTCGCCTGACATGACGCCAGGATCAAAGGCACCTGGCTGAAGCCATCCAGCAAGAGGCCAAGGGTCTTTTCGGGTGCATGTTTCGGCCCAATCTTCCGGAGTCCCGAGGCGTTTTTGTGCGATATGCAGTAGTTTGAGGCGTTCAGTATGCAGGCTCTCAAGCATACTGATGCATGAGGAGCTCGTTCAGGTTGACCCTATAAGCTCCTAAATCCCTACACCATACACCCCCAAACTTTGTCCCGAAGCCCTGAACCCAAATCTCTTGAATCCTACGAGCCGGGAACTGCCACACGCTCACGCAGGTGGAAGCTGCAGAGGCCATCGACGTTGCTTCCTCAGCACGATGCGTTGTCTTGTTGGTATCCAAAACATACCGTAGTTCCATATATACTGTCATTAGGTCAACATCAGGGATGGATGCCGCAATAGCAGTCTGAACATAATAAGTAGACCTTGTTATTGAACCGTTTACCTCACCGGGTAGTGATTCGTCGGTGAAAGAGGCATGCCGAGTAGAACGTGCGAATGGACAGCTAGCACGGCTGTCAGGAAGCGTGTGCCAGCTTGTAACCAGTGTCCAGCAGTTTCTTCTGTTCTGAACTCAACTTCAATGCCGCGTGGGGAGCTCTGTAGCAAGTTTTCATATTCCCTTGTTTTTCAAGGGCGCATCACTGCATGCCAGTTGGGTTTCAGATTAGGAGCTGGAGCGCAACTACCACGAAGCTAGCTTCAAGACTCCTTCGATGCAGTGCTTTCGCCTCGTAGGGTATGTGGCTGCATATGTTTCCCTAGGGCTCCAGTTACCTAAATGGTAGGTTACCGGGGTACATACTATATGGTTAGTAACCCACTATTTAGGTAACTGGAGCCCTAGGGCTTGGCACACGACTCCCATATGCACTGCAATTGTGCAGATCGTCGATTACACAGATCTCGGCTGCATGGTTGGATTTATGAGTTCTGAGAGACTCAACGGGGAGCTTTAACCCTGAAATGTAGGCCTTCCCCAGATCGGCAGCCATGCTGAGGTGCACACGCACTTGTTTTCCTCCAGCCGCGGCCTGACGTTTCGACTTTTTCATAAGCTTCAAGTGTTGGCCTGCATGCATGCATGAGCTGGCGCACGCACGCACACGCGCACGCACGC